CAAACTAAGCCAAACCATAACAGAACTGTGATCACAGTAAGTCCAAGATCACATCACCACTAATCAGAAGAATTACATTTCTTTCAAACATGAGATGATATGACTGAGAGAAGATTGTGGCTCTTGTCCCCTGTAGTTGTACGTGGATTGGTGAGTGGTAGTGGGGATGGAGCAGGACATCTTCAGGCCACTGTCCCTGCCAAAACCCACCTAGGGTTGGATACCGAAACACAGTACTAATATGGCACTGGTTCTTATATATACCGCTATATACCAGACCGAATCACGGTGCTGATGTCTGTTTCGATAGCAGAGCAGTCTATTGAAATAGTTACCCTCTGGTGTGGATGTGACAAGCAATGAAGGCATCACAGCACGTGTGCCATCACTAGTTAACATTATGGCAGTGGGGTGAGATGTGAGTGGGAAGAGGTATAGGAGGGTGGCCTGGGTGGGCAAAGGACGACAGGTGAAAAGTGGCCCAGAATGAATAACCCTCTCAAAGCGATCAAAGCTGGGATCGCAATTCAATTGTAAGAGGACATTGGTGTTTCCTTAGGCTTCCTCTGCTTCCTGCCCCGCAGCTACCCCTGCACACTCCCCCTGCCACTCTCAAGTCTCAAATGGCAACAGGGGCACCATTATACTATGCCTGGCTTGGCTTCTTGCACAGACTCATGGCAGGCAGACACAGGAGGGTATGCAGCAAGACTACATTGTCTTTCCCAGTTGGACCCCTCTCTGCATCTCTGTCCTCGTATCCCCTTTTTTCTGTCAGTACATACTGAAAATGTATTTAAATTTGCATTGCAACTGCATTCCACAAACTATGATTCTTACATTTCTGATTGTAAACAAATAATATCCAGAGTAACATGTGGTCAACATTCCAGCTGTTAGCAGGTTATTTTTCACTTTGGACAAAGCTGTTTGCCCTTGCCTCTCAACATTAGGCTAAGCTGGCTATATTCAGCCACATAAATCCCTAGAATAATACATCTGCCTGGTATTTATCTGCTGGACACCCAGATGGACATGATCATTTTTGCTCCTTTTCTGACTGCAAGATACAACACTAGCAATACAGTGAGATGAGAGAGCTTCTCCTCCCTCAACAGCAAGAGAATATAACTTCACCCAGTGCTGACACAGCTCTGTGAAGAAAGGTCTGGTTTTGCTTGACTGTGAGAGACAATGCAAGCTACAACAATTATCGAAAATGCTGATTGAAAGAAGCATTGCTTGAATCCCAAGGCAAATAACAAATGCTGCTTTCTACTGTTTACTATATGTTTTTCAGCGTGTCTGTGATATTGAATGTGACACATTAGAAAACGAACGGAAAGGCAAACTCATTTACTGGCAATAGAGAGGAGTCAATCGCCTCTTTATAGGTTGACCTGCGTTTAAAAACTTATGCTAATTCTGGCGTACCCCAAACACTATAACTGTTAAACCCAGCAACCTTCAAGTTAACTACTACTTCTTCTCTCACACACTGAATCTCTTGATGTCTTTGTAAATTACAACTCCAAATGGTCCATTCTGCTGACACTTGATTTGACAGTTGTGTCTCTATACAGCCACACAACCATCAATCCTGTTATCTTCTTACCTTCCTCCCTCTCCTTAACAGGGATCGAGTCCATGAGATAAGATAATGGATAAGATAGACTTACTTGCTGAGTTACTTACTTACTGATTCCACACTGGGGAAATTCACTTATTACAGCAGCTCCAGATTCACAACACAATAGATAAATAAATAAAATAGAAAAATACCACATACAATAGAAACAGAAAACTAAGAATAAGAGTCATATATAGACTATATACAGCTTTTTATATACAAATGTGATTAATGGAACATTGCACAGGTCACAGCAGGAGGTAGTGGCACTGTGTTTACAGTGTATATATATTTATACACAAAATCTAAGGCCATAATATGAGGCTAATGCTTCATTAATACCGTAGAACACCCTGGGAGTCTCATTAGTGATACTAGAACAATAACTTTTTTTCAATATCTTGCTTTGAGAAATATGAAAATGTTTATGTACAATAGGAAGTGTGTTAAATTTTATAAAGACCTTTACTGAAATAAAACTGTATACTGATCAAGTTCACTGAGAACCAATTCTCATTTACAATGATGACCTGGGCAATAGGCAGCAATAGAGGTCCATACAAGACATTATAGTATACAGAGTCTGTGTGTGTGTAAGATAAGGGACGCAGACAACTTTTAAGTCTGCGTTGAAATTATGTTATGTTAAAGTCATCGACCCGAAGTTAAAGCTGACTTAAGCACTAGGATTTCCTGTGTGTGTGTGTGTGTGTGTGTGTGTGTGTATTGTGTGTGTGTTTTGACCCTAATCAGCCTTGGTCCAAACATTCTACCAAGAGCTGCTGTAAAACACAGAGCCATGTGACCAGTTACTGACCAGTGACTTTAGCACATGTGACCAGTTACTGACCAGTTACTTTAGCACAGGATGGCCTTCTCTACAAACAAAAACTGCAACGGTGTGATTATAATGCTTCATTTGTGTCACTGTAACAACGTTACCAGTAGTTAGTAGGTATTTTTTGGTGTTATACAATGTCTGTTCAACATCCAGTGCAAGACATTATGTGTACTTTATATACTGACTGCAACATTGCTCAAATGTGACAATTTACCAGGTATTATAGATTATTGTTCAAAGTCTGTGCAACTGATGAAATGTCATGATTACCCAGCAAATAGTTTTCTACTGTTTGCTGCACACTCACAAAAAAAATTTATTAATATATAATATAATTAATTAAGTAATTTATTAATGTAATCTACACAAAAGATGTACTGGCAAGGAATATAAACACTAAATAGATTACAATTAATTCAGGTAACTCAAGCAAAGAACTGCAGGACGCATTTAAAAGGGAAAGAAAAATTCCCTGGATAAAGCAAAAAGATCAAAAAAGATTACAGAGGAGTTTGTTACCCTACTTTTTTATTTTGTTACAAAAAAAGAAAAAAACTAAGAAACAGCTAAGCTATTCATTTATATTAGACGGGGCTAGAGGCAGAGCGGGTCGTCCCCCAATCGGAAGGTTGTTGGTTCGATCCCCGGTTCCTCCTGCTCCTTGAGCAAGATACTGAACCCCAAATTGCTCCCGATGCACAGCGTGCATCGCATTGGTGTGTGAATGTGTATGTATGAGTTAGTTTCTGTTCAATGGACATTAAAGAAGGGAATATTTTGTTTGTTTTTCACGTTAGGAAAATTATTAAATCTAAAATATTTTAAATGATATCTCTCCCTCCATCCATCTCAATTTTGTTTTATCATTTCCTGTGTCCTCATGAATACCAATTCACTGACACTAGGCCACCTGTCAGCCAATCACTGTGGACAAGTTCCAGAATTTCAGTAGTGCTGTTGGATAGGTCTGATGGTTGGTATCTTTAGAAACAACTCTCGATATGACAGCACTTACACCTAGTGGTAAAAAAATTTAATTACAACAGTTAACCGCCAACATGCAGATCAGGACTGGACACTGCTATATTATAAGATAATATATAAGATAAGATATATCTTTATTAATCCCCCTTAGTCTGCAGGGGTTGGAGGTACTGGGTGCTGTGGCGTTGTGGAGTCTGATGGCAGATGGTACAAATGAGCCTCCAAAGCGCTTTGAGGCTCGGGGCTGGGTCAGTCTGTGGC